ACATCTCCGGTTCTGTAAATGATCTAAGGGGGAAGATCAATATTATATTATTACTTGTCTTAATATTATCGCTATCACTATTTGAAATAGTACGTCTCAGAATTAATCCACGAATATAGATCAGATACATATATACATTGGTACCTATACCCTATATATGTTCCAAGGAATAATAATAACAACAATAAAAAAAAAAAAAAAATACGAAGAATATTTATTATGGCTAATAAGTTGCTATTAGATACGATATTCTTAGAGATTCAGTATATTGCGTAGGTATCCCCCTGTTAAGTCGTCACAAGCTACGGTTGACAACGCATTGATGCATAGAACTTGCTAAGGGAATTCAAGTCAGCGGGCCTCTCCAAAAGATAAAAAAAAAAAAAAAAAGCCCATGGCCTTACCCGCAATAACGCCTTGATGACTCGACCGCAACTCGTATCAACGCCAATCCAATCCACTGGCCCTGGTGAATTATGTATTTCTCTGCGCGCATCTGCCATGACGCCGCGCTACTGTATATACTGCCCAAGTATGTACCTAATGTATGTACTATGTAAGTGCGGCAATGAAATTACCCTGTAAGTGCTTTTTTACTACTACATACTGCTGCTGCTGCTCTCTGCCTTGTCTAGAGCCTGTCGCTGTCACGAGATATTCTCCGATCAACGTCCCCTAGCTACATACATACATACATAAATTTCATCATATCTACTACTCTACCTTACCCGGCTATGTATGTATATCATTAGGCAACCCTAAACAACGCCACAATTCAATGACTGGCATATGCTCGACGGGAAGGCCTTGCACCAAGCATAGCGGGCCCTAAGAAAGATAGCGTCGGTGGTTGTTTTTTTTTTCCTTTTTTTTCTCTTTCACGTGTGGGGTGAGGAGAAGAGGGGTGAGCTCGTAGCTCGTAGCTTGTAGCTTGTATCGCGATGAGATGTTTTCTGCTGAATGGCTGGCGGATGAGGCTTCTCGGGTACGTTTCGCTCCCATGAAAGCTAGCTAGCTAGCAAGCAGCTGATGCTAGATCGAGAAGCGAGAAGCAAGAGACCCGCGGAGGAAGCACCGACAACCATTCAATCTTGGTGAAGCCGTTGTTGTTTATTTCCTCTTTGTCAGAGAAACGGGCAACAACAAAAAAAAAAAAAAAACATACAACACAAATAGAGCTAAGCTAGTCACGATCTCCAGGTAGCTATATCAGTGGTGCAGCAGTGAGCATCTGATACCAGGCGCGGGGGAGACGCCGTTGCTTTGCTGCAGGCAGAAAAGTCGGTGAGCAGCAGTTCTCGAGAGCTGATTTGCGCGCGGGCGACGAACATCTAAAAGGGTGTGGTAGGCCAACTCATCGTGCTGGCAACCACCCCATCGATAAACGGTCGATAAGCCCTATCGAACCCTATCGCCAGTGAAGGTGTCATGCATGAAAGTGGGCTATTTTGTTGTTGTCCTGAAATGTCTAAGACCAAGATATGCACCGTCACATACATACACATACACATACACATATACATACTTACTCTTCTTATGGTACTTATACCTACTATTTACGTAGTATATCTATACCTAACTTAACCTCTACCCAGCCGGTAATGGTAAATGTACTACTATGTAAGTGGCCTATGTATGTACCTATATCGAATGGAGGGGGGTAAGGGAGGGGCGTGAACTGGAGAAACAGCTCAATCGCGGAGAGACCTATGACCTTCTTTTTCGACCAATGATAAAAAAATGTAGAGTATAAAAAATGGGAAAATAGGAATATATGTTTTATATATAAATTTATATTCGCGACGATAACAACGGGTAGCAAGATTAAATATAGACAGGAGCTGTAACCACAGGTGATTTTTCCCACCAAATAGAGTCGCCGTCTGCTAGAACTTACATTCGCTTACCGCCCGCGCGGGGTGCATCCTATTGGCATCCGATATGAGCTTGATATTATCGATGAACCTGCAACTTGACGATATCCGTCTGACATGACAGAATGCCTACCTGCTGCGGTACTATACTGCGGTACTACGTATATGTGTATCTATGTATGTTGCTTATATATGTAGGTCTGTAGTTAGGTATATATGTGTATGTGTGTATGTGTATATGTATAAGTAGATACGTCCATCGGACTTAGTCAACCTTCAACATACATACCTTGCTTACAACAGCATTATGAGGTAGTCAGTATAGCCAGTATAGACAGTATAGCTACCGAAGGGGGTATACTGACTGAATATCTATGCTGCTGCTGCTGCTGCACACCTACCTCATCCTACCGCTTCTCGACAGCTTCATGCTTCTTAATATACGGAACGTGTCCTCGCACATGGCTATTCCGAAACACCCCATCACCAAGTATGATTTGGAGGTGTGTTGAGAGATCTTGACAGCCAACTCACCGCCCTACCGTCCTATACCGCCAAGCGCGCGCGCTAGTTATTTTTTCCCACAGGCCCGCTTCTACATAGTTTGGGTAGATGTTCACGTCCAATTGCGCCGTTGGTTACAGTACAGGGTCGTTCCTTGATTTATACATAGCAATATGTAGCTGGAGACAAGCCTGCCTGCCTACATACACTACATGACAGCATGGTAATCCGCAGGAGCGTCGTTAACGCCATTAATATTCCGGAGCTACGATATAGTATAGGTAGGTTCTTAGCTTAGCTTAGCTTAGCTAGGTAGCTAGCTACTGTATATGAATGGAGCGAAATAGCAACTTCTGTAGGAAAGGCGTTGGGCGGTCTAGGTGACCGTAAGCTGCTAGAGGTTAGTTGTGTTGGATCTAGCATGTTGCGTATGTACGACGGGTCCCGCAAAGATCCCAAGTTATCAGCTACCTAGCTAAAGAAGCTTGCTTAGGAGCTCTTGTCGCAAAGCCTTCAAAAGGACAAAAAAAAAAAAAGAATAGCTGAAAATTCACCGATATTCAGTCAGGTAGTGATGCAGTCAGTATCTCCAGTAACAAGCAGCATACTAGACAGGGGAATATCCTCGCTGCGCATCCGAGATGCAGTCCCAAGTAATCGGCCTACCTATCTAGGCGCATATCCACGTACGATACGCACTATACCTCTCGACACATCCAGCCCTGCTATATAATCGCCGACAAAACTCCATACCGTCTACCTACTTACAAGCCAGCCATATTATCCAGCACAGCCTTACGCTCGCTGCCTGCTGTTCTTATGACTCCAAGACAATGTCGAAGTGGAGAGAAGGTTTCGAACAAGTCTGGGGAGACGTTGAGGGATTGGAGAATGGAGAAGAAAAAAAAGGGTCCTGATGTAGAACGAGTCCGTAAAAGAAGTTCGAACGACGGGAATTCCCTAATGCGGGTAAGGCGGTGCGGTAGACAAGTTGGAAAAAAGAAAAAAAAAAGAGAATAGCTCTCGAGCGGTACCCATACCCATATATATTTAGGAACGAGGCAGTTCAGCGTTGATCCTCCACTCGCCGATCCAGGGTCCCAACTGCAGGATGACCACCTCGCGCAGGGCGCTACATACAGGTGAGGGCATCATCTACATAATAGAAGTGTCAATCGCAAGCGACGATGGAGACAATAGATGGGGTTTATCTGTTTGATGTCGTAGACCTTGTCGCAATCTACGCCGATTCGTCTTTAATCGGTCTGCTGGAATATGTTTTATTCTTCCGAAACTGCTAGTTGCTTACTACCTATGTGTTGTTTATGGTGTTATTCGTGGTGATCACATTTCTACAATAGTTATTAGTTATCAAGAAGAGCCCCCCCCAATTTTTTACCTAGAAGGGAGAGAAAGAGGAAGAACAAAAAAGGAGGGGTTCTACGGATTACAGCACACACGAATTACAGTAAGTAAAAATAAAATCGATAACACCATAGCGGATATAGCCGCACCCGTATCACCCATACATACGCCTATAGCATTAGTAGAGTTGCTCATTTTAGAGTGCTTAACAAGAAAAGTTCCCGTACTCTTATCCATGGTTCTGAATCCTATGGTTTACAAATTCGTCCCTGATCGGGTATATGGATGCCAACTTGCCCATCTCCACAGGTTTACATCCATGAAACCAATGATGCTGACGTTCGCTTCGGTTTCACATGCTGACCGTATCGCTATTCACTACATCCCGATAGCATCAAGATTTCTGGAAGTTTTCTTAACAACAGTCACGTCATATGAACCCATTTCTCATCTCTACGTGATAACAATGTCACTTTTAATAGGCGAATCCAAGTTCAATGCGATTGGAAGACGAAGACGAAGACGAGATCTAATAGTTGGAGCACGTTTTATTCTTTTTATTTTGTAAGCCTTGGAAGATTTTTACTATGTTTTTGTGTTCATGGCGCATGCTATTTTATCTTCCTCTGGGGGCTAATTTGCTAGGTTCGCTTCTCTTCAGCACCTTTTGAATTTTTAGCTAGCAAACCTCCCTCCTTTTTTCGCCGCGACGGGCGGTACAGTACAACCTCCTTTCTTTTCCTGCTTTTGGTTCATCATCCCTTCTTCGTGAGGTTGCCCTCTAATTCTCCTTGAAATACACACTATGAGTAGTAGAAAGCAAATGCAGCCCTTCCATTAGGGCAAAATCAAATGCGGACCGTGGTATCATCCGGGTAGGTAGCAACGCCGATTAGTGCCAAATAAACATGAAAACTAAAGGCGAGTGCCATAGACACGACGATAAGTCTCGAGCGGGCCGTAAAGCAGCCCCTATGCGCTGTAACGGTGAGGCCACACCGTGATTGGTCCGAGACCAACCCACTGGCTAACCATGCAGTGTGTGATTATCGGCGATGGGACACCTCGTGATTAAACAACATCAAAACGCCGGCCCTCATGCAATGCAATCGGTATCGTAGAAAGCAACCACCATCGCAATGCTTCGTAGAAAAAAAAGAAAATAAAAAATACAAGGCAGCCTGTGATCTGCCATCGAGTGCGTATTGGCGACTCGATTGAGGGTATATTCTGTCGAGGTTTGTAGGATAGGGTAGATTACCAACCCTGGGTGTGGTAGCCGCCGAAATCTTCGCGAGAGAAGTATTGGTTCCAGCTGCTCGAGTTGGGCTCTTCTTGACCCTTGCTCATGTAGGCCTTTTCGGGATATTGCTTCAAGTTGGCCACGTCGAGGGAGGTATGTCGCCTTTTTAACACGGCATTAGCGGTAGACGACTTTTGCTGTCGCTCCCACAGAAGCTGACGGCGGCGTAGCGACTCTGTCAATTCTGTGGCCAACATGTTCCTTCGGGTTGTCCTAGGTGATAGCGCGGCTTGGTGGTAGTGGGTCGGAGGGTTGACCATGATGGGCTGAGCGCCGGTTCTCGTGACTTCGTTAATTGGTTTAAGTGGCGTAGGTCGTAGACCTCTGCGCATCTCGAGGTCATTATCGGAATCGTTGGGAGAGGACACCACATTCATGTTTGAAGTGGCTTGAAGTGCTCGCGCGCGTTGGGGAATAGCAGGCGTCGAGTGCGACGCGTAGTTGCTAAGACCCTTGGCTCGTTCCTCCTGTCCAGCGAACATAAGGCTAATCAGTGATCTTTGAGAAGTAAGATTCGCCTTTGATGGTACCCGCTTGAATGTGACTGCATCATCTACGCTAGACTTGCCACTCTCCTCAATAGAATCTTCCCACTCAGAATCATCCTCGTCGTCATCAATAGCGCTTTCATCCATGTAGCTGTCAGAGTGATCGCTAGGTGTTTGGATTGTCCTCATTGTAACGTGGTTGTTGAACGAGGTTTGCTTCTTCTGGCAGTTAAGCATGGAGCCCGGTCGAGAAGAGTGCATAGCACTCTTCAGAGAAGGACTATCGTCTTCTCCAGATGATCCGACACCAACCTCGAACATAGGCCTCTTAGGGGCCGGGGGTGGGGGCATGGCCTTGCGAGCCTCTACACTTTGAGGCGAGGACTCGTTGCTAGAGGAGTCGCCAAACTTGAACTTCGCAGGCTGCTTCTTAAGCTGCACTGGCTTAGGAGCGGGAGACGACTGAGGCTCCGGAATTGGGTCTTGCACAGCCAACTTGGGTTCGTGAGATACACGGAACGACGGGATCTGCGACGGCGAGAAACCTCGGATCACGGTGGTTGCAGGTGTTTCTATAGACTTCGGATGCGGCGAGGACGGCGCATTTACTGACTCGCACTCAGACTCGCTAATCTGAGTCGCGGGGGTCTGTTCTGCTTCTAAGCAAGAGGATTGAGAAGCAGCTGATGACTCGAGCGAAGGAGAGCTCATTGCGGGCAATGGTGCTAGGTTCGGCTCCTTCTCCTGGATAATAGAAACTACCATCTTCTCGAGGTGGTCCGAGGTGATATGACGTTCACGGCCCCTGCTTCGGCTGCTAGCACAAGAGTCTTGTCGGACAATTCGAGGGCGAACAATTTCCATAGGGTCGGAAATAGTTGTGAAATCGATTGCTTCTTCGTCGGCGACGGAATCGACGCTTCCCGATAGCTGAGGGACGTCTGATAGTATTTGTTGCTGGGCGGGGATATCTTTCGGTAGTGTGGTGGCGGAGGCAGCAGATAATTCCTTAGCTTCGCAGCAGAAGGTCTCTCTATTCCATAATCGCCAACTGAGATTTTCTAACCTTCGACCTTGCTCGACTGAGTCTGCACATCTGGAGAAAACTAAAAAAAAAAATATTGGTTAGAAGCTGCGGCTAAGACTCATACCATGAGCCAGTTACTAGATTAAAGACCTACCAGTCCACATGCTGAAAAGGTTCTGGGGGTTGTTGGTATCGACCTTGTGGATGACGTTCGGGTCCACAGTCAGGACCAGCCCTTCAGCTTTACAAGGCATGCCGTCTAAATGGCTGCTCGGCTGCTGGAGCAGACTATGAGAAAGTAGTGGATATATGGTGAATTAGGTTTTCGCGAAGTCGATCGCGAATGTCGAATTGGTCAAGAACCCGGTTCCTTAAGCTCCCCAGAGGCTGATTAACAATATAATCGGCGCCGAAAGTAGAATACTGGCGAGAGAATGTTCTCGGGTGTTCGTCGAAATATGGCGGCGGGATAAGGGAGATATAGGTGCCGAAACTGGTACTATGCTTCTGTAGCTTCTGTATGAGATACTCGCCGAGGTGGGAAGGCGTTGTGGCTGTCGATTAATGCTAGTCGAGATTATGCTACGACCGCCGACGATATTAACACTTAAGAGTTATCGAACTCTTCGTGGTTCATGGTGTAGGTTCATAAAGAAGGGGAGAAAGGAAGCGGATAGGGTTGTACATATGTATTTGATAGGAGGGAGTGGAGTGGGTAGGTGGAGGGTAGAGAAGGCGCGGTGTGCAAGAGCACTCCTCACTGGGTCCGGTACGTACTGTTTTTTAAGTACCTGTGTAGATACGTACCTATGTACTCTATTATTTTCACTCTGGGTCCTCCGGGGGTAGTGGCGGCGGAACTGGGATCAGGGGATCAGGGGCGGTAGGTAGCAACCCTTGACAACACGCGCAGAGGTACCTGTTTTTTAGTACTGCAGTACGTACCTAAAGAAGTACGTACCGGCTCTCGCTTCCCTCTCCGATAAATGGGTCACAGCGGCCAGACTCGCCCCGAAATGTCCTCTTTAGTGTATCTAAAATACTACCCCATTGAGGTATAGTTAAATCTTTAGCGCAGCGTCTAGACCAAACTAGGTATCACATGCCTATTGAGGCACTTAAGGCCCTTCTCTGGAGTACCCGGAAACCCGCCCGCGGTCAATAGGTCCAGTTTCCCAATTCAATTTCTTCCCTACAACTGACCAGCAGACCCTTTTGCCTGGGACTGCAAACTGCAAGCGGTTCGTTCTCATTGTTTAAGGCAGGCACATGTTACCCATTTGTTCGGCTGGTTGTTTCCAAATTTCTAAAGCGGTCACGAATTTGTGAACCCAACCAATGGGTGCAAGTTTACAGTAGAAAATGGTAAATACATGGGTACTATTTGATACTATCGACACATACTTTATCATCTTCTATTTCGCCTTACCCATCCATCCCATACGTTTTCAGCAATCAACCATGACCATTTCAAACTTCTAACGCGCACTGGTAATAACAGGCTAACACCAGTGCATCATGAGCTACACATGACGGCTTATGATTTAATTTTTCCTAATCTCTTTCCAATCGCTTTTTTAGTAGTAACGCCACTGTGAATCTTGGAATATGACTGCGGGATTATACTTGTGTGGTGTTTGTAAAGTAGGTACAACATGCTAATTAAACTAGGTACAATATGTAGCCGACTAACGACTTGGAACCAAACCCATTTATGAGATATTTACCTTATTTCTATTTCGCGTGGGATAAAGTATGGTAATTATAAATTCGCATTACAGTTGTTAAACTAAGCGAGCAAACGAACCGAACGAGCCCTGGTTGCTGTATGAGAGAGGGTCTTTTGACGCTAGGAATATTTGTTACATTAGCTAATGAATAAATATTCCCGCAAATGTAAGGACAAATGTAGGGACGGTCGATGAGGCAATCGTGACTATCTGCTTTGAGTTGGGTAATTGGTTTATTTGGCATTCGGTTGCTGGCCTGTGCTCAATATGGTAATATTTCAAGCATCGTGATCCTTGGCTGCGTTAATTAGGAGCCAGATGTTGAGGCCGTTGGAGGTCACAGGGTGATAACAATGCCACATGCCACAATGTCCGCGAAGTTAGGCAATCGTAGTAGAAGTCACAGAATGTATGACCGTCAGTTCAATTCGTTCGGCCGACGTTGGCTCTGATCGAATAGATACAAGATAGGCCACTGGAACATTGCCGCGCTATGTATTGCTAACACGGAGGAAGCACGTGCTGACTGAAAGACCGCTGCTTGGATCGACGGTCCTTTATTGCCTAGATCCGGCTAGAATGTTGAGAACTGCCTTGCAAACAGCCCTCGTGATACTGCCCTTCTAACATGAAACTTCATTGAGTTATTCTTTAGTCAACGGACCACCCCCGCGTTTCCCCTCGTCATAGCTACCCACGAGCTTGAGTGCGGCTGTTGACTTAGGTTGACTTAGACTGTCGTGGCTAGTCATTTGAACCATTTAGTGACAATGACAACACAATCTCCTCCGAGCACGTTACCGGAAGTTGCCAACACATAACACAGGTGTAAGATGAGGCCTAGCTTAGACCTCTTCGCATTATCTTTTTGCGTATCATAGCTATACTATACCCATGAGTACCACCATGAAGATATCTCAACTTGATCAGGCAGACACTCGTCTTGTGCCATGAACGAAACCGGTGAGCTACGTATGTGCTGTCCTTTCGGGCATTCTCACGACCACAAGAATGTACCAGACGGCAGATGCTGCGGAGGACATTACCTCGTACGGGGGGGGATATTGTGGCGGTCATATCGACTCTCCGCATACTTCATACTTCAACAATGGACGGTGAGTCAGCTGAACTCTCAGCCACAGTCGAGAATCCCAATTGAACCCGGTACCCCCACAGGTGAATAACTTGGCCCCGGATCACGAATCTGCCACAGAAGCATAAGGGAGCACAACAGCCTTGTGTTCGATGGTACGATACAATCTAATACGAAGTAACACCTTGTACAAAGATCTGAAAATGATACGTATGTCGTGGTGTAGTAAGTAAAAGTCAGCACGCGATCTGCAGTATCATTTGTATTGTTCTTGAATGATATAAGGAATACTATTAAGATTATCACGCAAATGTTCGAAACACATGGGTATGGATAGGTATGTATATTCATGACAATAGATAGGAACAAGTAACATTTAGGTTTGAATTATCTTATAAGTGAACCCCGAAGGATCACCGGTGATAGGATTTAATCCTCTTCCACCTTATTTTCTTCTCTAACCGTCTTCGCTTCAACAATTGGGATGAGACGAATATGAGATGAAAAGGTTAAATCAACGAAGCTCTTTTAACAAGGGTACTGTTCAGAATCACATTTCCTCTCCTCTAGAGCATCAATATCACGCAGTCTGTGACCATTTCGTTACATTTCCATTGCATTGCCTCTCCAGCATAGCGCCAACAAATAAATAATACCCGCCAATCGGCCAACGTAACCCCACGCCGAGATGGTAGATTCGTCGCTTATCACACCTAGCACTAACATCCCGTCACATTTGCGCGCCGTCGACGAGCGCCAAACTTTGTATCGTGACTTATTACCGCATAAACGCTTAAACTACCACCGAACCCATCCGCGCGCGTCACCAACACGCGAGCCTCAGTCAACGTTGTTAAGGCAAAATTGTAAGAGATAATGGCCGTGTCATTGTTTCGATCGTGTCATGACGTGGATGGTCATATAATTGTAATAATAGCATTGTAAGTTACGTCAAAGCCATCATCTGATCTTGCGCTGCGCTTAAATCATCTCAAATCATCACGTCGTTCTCAATGGCCACAAGTGTTGGATAACGGGGATTCGCTGGAGGCTCTCCAATAGGCAACAGTTTCGTCCCGTATACCGAGCTTGTGATTCCTCTTACCATTACGACTCCCATGTTATATGTTATAATTATAATGTATGATCGAAATCCCAGCTAGACCTAACATTCCATGCCAGGCACGGCGGCGAACGATCAGCCAAGCCAACCACTTATTGTGTAAATGCGGGTTGCAAGCGTAGTAACTATACATACTTTTTACCAGCGACCGAACATTGACACCCCCATCCCGCAGTAGATCATCTCTTAATGGCAAGTTTGAGAAGTTCGTTGGCAGGTCATGATACCATGATACATTCTAGAAGAAATGATGCCCAGCCTAGACTGCTACCTACCTAACTTTACATGGCAAAGTTTGTACGGTGGTGTACCAGTATTCTCGACATCTCGAGATATCCCATCCGCGACGTGGGATGCACTGGCCGCGCTACATTGAATCAGGCAGGCGGCAAGGCCTATTTGCCAGAAGCGTACCTATCATGCACCATCATTTATCCCACGTTTCTTCGACGAAACCTTGGGTTTCCAGAGATTCTCTTAGACCCACTTGCACTACCGACCAGCTTCTCATCATGGGGAGAGAACCGAGCTTAGGAGCTTAGAAGAGAAGGAGAGCAACTATCGCGAGACCACGGATACGGGTTTGAAGGCGTACCTCTGTTCTAGAAATATCGTGACCCCTGAATCCGCCCTTGTAGTTTCGATATGTATGGTATTTTATCTGAGAGGTCAACCTTTATTCGCCATTTAGGCATCAAGTTACGAAATTGGGCAAGATACGAGCGGGAACGTCCCTAATAAGAAAATTCAGGGACGAGCCAACGCTTCGGGAAGCTGTTGGAGAAACCTGGCTAATGACACTCCCAGGAAAGTAAAATATAGATTTTATATAGTTATTTACAGCTATGCACATGATATATATATAACTACCATATATACTAAACTATTATTTCTACTATATCGTTTTTTTATTCCACGATGCAATACCCCGCTACGAATGTGTCATATTGACATCGTCGGCCAAGCAAGAAGCGAAGCGCTATGGCTGCATGAACGGGCGTGCATTACATACATCGAGTATCTGCGCATTGCCGTTGTAGACCTACATGAGGATTAAAAGCCAACATGCACTTCAGACGGGTTCAGTCTTGGCTTCTACCGAATTAGGTGCTAATAGAAACTGCCAAAGGATTTGAAGCCCCCCACGCACATTAGAAATTACTGTAGCGAATTAACCCCGAAGTTCTCCTCGGCGATGCATTCATTTTAGCCATCATGGTTCACGTGTTTACATGTCAATTATATCTCAAGCCAGGCTTCCCCCAACAATCCTAGAAGCTTCTATCATCTTACTAGAACATGTCTCTT